AACGAGTTGTTTGTTCCAGCCGCAGCATGACTCCCGCGAGTACCCGCACACGCAGCGCATACGTAACCTTCGGCGACTGATATCAGAAGGCAAAGTCAAACCGGAATCTGAAACCCTTATATTTTTCCTTTGTAATAAATTTGCAGTTTCTGATGATAGGCGAAAGAAATTTGAATAACCATTCATGTGTTACCGTCCGTGTTCACTTGCGAGACATGTAATTATGAGAAACGTAATTTTATTTTTTTTTCTCAAAAGATGAACAAAATTATCCTATCCAAGTGTCTCTACATTGAAAATTATATGAGAGAAATGCCTTTAGAGTACTAACTAAATAACAAAAAGGCAATTAATATGTTATTCAAAACAATGTTTATAATTTGTGCATATTTTTATAATCAACTTTAGTGGTGTATTTTTATAACTAATTATTTAATTAAACTTTTTTAAATAAAATCGTTTACTTTTATTTCCCAAATTAATAATATAATTATTCCCAGTATTGTGGAAAACAATTCAAAGCCAAAACTCCAAATTGTCTGCGATTTCTTTACTACTTTTGTTATTGAGAATAATTTCGATTTCTTATGGTTATAAGAAAAATCCAATAAGTAAATGTATCTAAAATACAGGCGAATGGAGGCAGTTTCTGATTATTTAGGGTTTAATAAAAAAATGTTTATAAAAATCTAGCCTTAGAACTTTAATGTTTTTCATTCACTGAAATGCAGTTTATTGCAGTACCCTTTCATATGAACATAATAGATAATTCTATGTTACATAAACGCGAATATGTATAAAAATTATGCAATATTCTTATGTCACAGGCCCTAAACAATAAGAAATTGACCTAAAGTTAGTGCGGCCACCGCGTGTACTCATCTTGCCTACTATAGAGATGTCCATTTAAATAAAAAGAATACTTTAAAAAAGTCAAGTCCAAGTTGTTACATATACTTTATATTCTTCATAAAAATTATCTACACACGAGACTTTTAATATAAAACAAAAACATATTTCTCAAATATAACTTAAAGAAAACTTAAGATTGCCGTTGTCACGAGACCGCGGGCGGCCGCAGGGAGGGCGGCGCGGGGCCTCCCTCGCCACCCCCGCCGCGGTCCCTCGCATCACCCTTCAATAAATTAATCAATTTCGAACATAAAATAAAACGGAGGCCGGGCGACGAGCTCAAACGTTTCTAATTTTTGTATGGTAATCGTCCATCATCTGACGGCGAACAATTCACGACACAACACAGACACACGCGCACTGGCCCGCGGCAACGTCGCCACGTGGCGCTGCTGCAGAGCGTTCCCACCGCAAGGAGCTTGCGATCCGAGACATTCACTGTAAGTCCTCACGGATAAGTCCACCAGGTTGTGTTGAATATATTTTTCTATAAACGTCATAATCAGTTATTTGACACTCGCGGCGTCGCGTTTTCTCGATCGACGAGTCTACCGCGTGTTGGCGAAGTCA